CCCAGGCCCCCCGTCCCGCCTTACCCTGGAGCGGTTGACCACGAGATCTAGCCCTTTGACTTCCCACGGACAGGCTTTGACCAGTGGACCTCTCCATCCGGTTGTGTCAGGTCGGCCCAGAGGGACACCGGGGAACAACATCCGGGCCAAACCCACAGCTAAATCCACTCCGTGTAGACCCGACGCGGCAATTTCCCCCCTCCAGGTGCTGGCGGCGGCGCCGTCCATGAGGGGGGCCACGCACCGGAGACGCGTGCCGCCTCTTCGGACATGCCACAACACCACCCGGTTGTGGTAGGTCATCTTATATATCTGATATATATATATATATATATATATATACATATATATCAGATATATCCTATATATATATATATAAACACTTGGGAGCAAAGTCCCCTTCGTATACACCCGATGCAGTTGTTCCCCATTTCAGGTGCCAGCTTGCAGCGGCACCGCTCGTGAGGGGGGTCACACAGCTCTATACAGAACCGAAAAATAATGTATGTATGCTTATTAACACGTACTATATGTAAGTTAGTCAAATAAGAATATTTAAGAAAACATAAAATATAGCTATGAAAAAAAAGAAAAAAAACTAATGAGTGGAGGGGGTGACCGGGAAGTGGATAAGGGAACTATGAAAAAAATATCGATGACGTGGTAAAAAAAGGAAGAAAAAGAAAAAAAACTATGAAAAAAATATAGCTATGAAAAAAAGAAAAGAAAAAACTATGTCGTCGGCATAGCTGCGGCATAGGCAGATGGCCGGCGCGCCGCGGATCAGTGATGTGGCATCTATGCCGACAGCAGCCGTCGGCATAGGTGGTGGTCGGTGCGCCTCGGATCGATGACGTGGTAAGGGCATCTATGCCGACGGCCTCCCGTCTCGGCCGTCGGCATAGATCGGACGCCGTTAGCCGCGCGACACGAGCGGGATCGCCGGGCCCGCAACTATGCCGACGGCCGCTGTAGGCGTAACTTGGGATAAGCCGACGGCTCATCTGGGCCGACGGGGGCCGTCGGCATAGCTCGGGATAGCCCGACGGCTTTATTACGCCGACTGCCTGGACATGGCTGTCGGCATAGCCCAGACAAGGCCGACGGGGCCGTCAGCATATATATGGCCGTCGGCATAGGGCCCTGTTCCGGTAGTGTTTGGATCTCGGTCACCCGCTGCGCCAGAGCCCACAAGAATGGGGGAATACACATATGTAGGATCAGGATTGATTGCCTATTTGTTTGCCTAAACTCGTCCAGAAAAGAAAACTCATGTGGGTTTATTTTGCTCACTCATTCGGCACGCAAGATCGTGGCTCCGGCATGGCCGCGCATGTAATTCGTCGTCGTCGTCGTCGTCAAGTCCTAATTTTCTACAGTTTTGCTCAGCAGCCGCTTTCTCAGTGACGCTTCTCCCCGTCTTACTGGAGCATACATACGTATCAGGCACGTCATGATAGCTGTAGAAAATTCCAAGGCAGTCGAATTCGACGACGACTTGCTAATTGCTACGCCGATCTGTCTGAAGTCTGAACCACGGAGAAGTGTCGCTCGACTCTTCTTTTTTTTTTACGGTCGTCGTTGCTCAACCACGTATGCTAGCACTATTGGTTATCAGCCACCACCTGTTGTTGCTGGGTAACAGTTGGCAGGTGATTTTCTCATAGATAAATAATCATTTAGAAAAAACCAAGCTGGAGAATTCGACACATCTAAAACCCTCTTATATTTCTTTACGGAGGGAGTAACAGTAATGCATCTTGGTTCGTCGTACTTGAACAAAGATGATGAATTGTTGTGCGAGGTGTAGCTGGTCACGGGCATTGATCCGCTTCAAGCATGGAGCGAAAGGCTCGGTTTTTTGGCAAAAGTGTGAATGATTTCTATCATAAGCAAAAGCACTACCACACACACACACACACACACACGCACGCACACACACACACACACACACGCACAACAACTAAGTGGTCCATGGATGTATACTATACTTGTCTGTAAAGTTTCATGGCGAATGCATTTTTTATGCGAGCCACACAAAAAATAACAAAATCATGTACTATGTCTAGCACATGTACTAGTATTTCACTATAAAAGTAGATGTTTTTCATACAGCTCACATCGAAACGTATTTCATGATTAAATTTACGCACATCTAGTATACATCTATAAGTACTTGTGTATTTATTTTCAGATTTTCTTGAAACTTAAGACACTGCATAGGGACGAACATGAGGCTTCTTTTATACGTACGTTTTATATGAACTTATTTTCACATGGTCTAGATCAGCAAAAATTAAATGTTCATGGGAAATTAGTTACCTGGCACTACAAAGCACCACTTCCTGTAAAATATAGCTCAAAATCCATAATTGACAACACATCCCTATATGATGCTGTCACTAAGAATTTTACCATAACGGTCAAGCATTAGCACTTTGAAACTAAATTTTCCTGAAACTATCCATGTGTCCCTCCTTTTCCGCGCCTCCACATCCTGCCCTGCCAATCACACAAACACAGAAGCCGAAACGACGCCATCAAAACCAGAAATGTACATGGGAGAAAAGATATTCTGATAAATGGGGTAAAAATAAGAACAGGATCCAAGGAAAACAAGCTAAAGCTTAACACTGAACGCCCCTGCTTGGCCATACCAACAACGGAGTCAAGTAAGACAGATTTCTATAGAGCTTATCGCGACCAGCACTGCATCTGCAGGCCCAATCCTGTCTGTCGCCACATTCGTAACCAGGTCAGGAACTGCACCACAAAATAAGGTGGCACGTGCACTAAACCTGGAAGCCAAGAAGACCAGATTTATCTTAAGAAGGTTTTTGATAAATGTTACTCCCTCCGTCCCAAAATATAAGAACGTTTTTGATACTGGTGTACTGTCAAAAATGTTTTTATATTATGGGACGGAGGGAGTAGGAAAGTATCTTAGGCTTCCTTGTTCGTTGAATTTTAGTTTGTCCTCAAAGGTACGTGGCCACCCTAAGCCTATAGAGAAAAGGGGGCCTATATTAGGACATTATCAATCAATAAATAACAAATTGCCCCAAGCTGAGAACTAAAAGCCTCTAGCAAGTGGCAACAGCCGGGGAGGAGCCCCGACATGCGCCTGAGGGCAGGCCCTGTTATCCCATTCAATCTGATCGCAACCCCCATTGCTATATCTAAGCCTACCAACAAGCACACGACACAGACATGTAGCACCATGGATGTTTTCGACAATCATGATATATTGAAGTGCCAACTGACAAGAGATGGCATGAACACAGCAGAACATGCTGTTAACATGTGCACGAAGCTATAGATCTTTGAGTCACTCAGGGGTGAAAACAGATCAAATTGGTTCTACCACATTCATGTCCGTATTTGTTCACTAAACACTGATGCGGTTACACATACAGGTCAGACAAAGAATTCAAAGGAATACCTATGTGATTCAGTCGAATTCAGACATCCCTGTAATGTATGCAATCAGTCAAGGCAATAGGATGCACTTAATCAGTCGAGGAAACAGAAATGGTCCCTAAATCAAGAAAAAGATCCTAACTGATTTGACATCTGAAATAAAGCAGATAATACAACTCAAAAGGGAAAAACTAAACCGAATTCGCACCCATTTTTTCTTGTCACTCGCAAATACAATTTTGGACTGCAAAATTACCATTCAACAGAAATACCCAAACCAAATTCTAATCTGATCAAATTTGCATGTAATATAATTCGAATAACCCATGTTCAATTACCAACTCGAACGCCCGTTGATGGTGCACAACCACCACCTTCCTTCGTAGTTAGCTAGTATATGTTGATAATGAAGGGAGAATACTAGAGAAAAGAAAACACTTACGGCAGAATATGCGGCAATGTTTTGCTAAGTGTAGACATTTGGATGTGTTCACATCAGGTAGTATCTTTGCAGTGATATAGAGAAAATAATTACATATTAGAAGGGAGTATCTGGGTAACGTATGACTCACCTATTCAAGTGTCTTCTTTGCAAGGGAGCGAAGGAACATGATGAGTGGTTTCTTCGCCCTGGAAAGCTTTTTATCAGATCCCTCTCCGCTATCTTTATTTCCCATGCTTTTTTGGACCTCTTGGACTATCCTCACAAGTTTCCGTAGTTCCTGTTCGTAAAATGTCCGTGAAGCTGAGTGATCCAAACATTGAATCATAACAGATGCACTTGAATTTCTTTAACCAGTATACTTTGGGTGGCGAATACCCATCGTAGATGCATAAACTGCTAGGACTACTATAACTGACAGCCTGACATGCTGAACATAGTTTA